GAATGAAAAGTCTGAGATGCACATTTAGAATTGTGGGAACAGCACTTACTATGATGACATGATTTGAAATAGTGTTTAGAAGGCAATAGGAGTGTGCTTAATTCTTTAAATTTTTTTATTCAAAAAACTTAATTTTTAAAAATACATTCTATGTCCTACATAGGGTCCTGGGCCCAGTCAGTGCACAGAAAAAATATGTTGCTTATTGGTTTTACTGCAGCATTAGCTGAAGATACAATTCCCATTCATAGAAAAGCCTCCAGCTGGGGATGAGTGGTACTTTATTCACAGCATTGTCAATATCCAAGTGATGGTAACGTTGGACCTACGTGTATCTGGTCGTTCTGATAAACCAGCCCACAGCAGCTCCTGTGTTACCCATGTGGCTGCTCTCAGCCAGTGTTGGTAAAGTTAAGTGAGAACTTGAGCTAACTAATCCTGCAAAGGTAATTAGCTTAATTGTATTAAATTTTGAGGAAAAAGTAAGGAAGCATTACTTTATGAGGTTTAAAATGCATGTGTTTGGGAAAGAGAAAAAGCCAGTTTGTGAGAAAAAGCATTTATGAAATGCCTTGCTTGTATCTGTGTATACAGGCATGGTGATGATGGCTTGTAGAAAAGCATCCGCTGAGTGTGGAAATGGTAAACACATCCAGCAGTTGTTTATTTGAGAAGATAAGACTTGAAGGTGCAGCTAAATGGGCTCCTGAGGCCTTTCTTCAACAAAAAAAAAGTTTCAAATAAAAAGGTCCTTATTTTTACCCAGTCAGTATTTTGCATTATTTCCCAGTTCACTTCACAAACATCAAGCTTAAGGTTTACTCGAAACCTCAACAACACTGGAAAATTTCTTTCTCTTCAAGATGGTGAGAGAGTAGTTTACTACTTAGGTCATTTAACTCAGTCGTAAATTACGAAATGTGAGGTATGACTAATCAGAGAAAGCAGTGCAGTATTATGAAACCGGCCTTAAGAAGAGTAATTGTCCCTTAAGTTTCCATGCTTTCCTGAAACTTGAATTGTGAAAGTCACGTCTTAGAGTGAGAATCCAAAACTCCTCACTTTATTAGTGAAGATGATCTTCCAGCAAATGTTCTATGTTATGTCTTTTCCTGCACTGACCTTTAGCAGAACCATCGTACCTGAACATAGCTATCCTAAATTTTAGGAAATACTGATCTTTATGTATCAACTATGGTACTCCTTATGGCTCACCCTCGTTTAATAGAATTAAAGAGAGGAAAGCTTCTGAATGGCTATTGGCTTAACAACGAAAAGTAATTTTGAAACTCTTGTTAAATTGCAGTGAGTGTACAACTAAACTGAGACTTAATTACATTTTTAATTAAAGGAATAGCTATTGATTATGTCATTGAATATGTGCTGTAGCCAGCCCTAACAAATAGCAATATTTCAGGAGATCATTGAACTAGTTGTTAAAATTCCAAGTGGATGAGATCTAGAACTGGTGTGGATAAAAGGCACAACAATGCTGGGTAGAATAAAAAGATAACAAGCTAAGTGAAAAATATGTTCATTTCTAAAATTTTGGTTACTGAAGGTTTTATGTCCTGTCAGAATGTGGTTTTATCTATGGAACAAAATGAAGACAAAAACCAGAACAATTTTTAGATAAGAAACACGGGTAAAGTTGTATCTTGTGTCTTGAAAGTGAACAGTGAGTGATTCAGACAATATTTCTCATGAGTTTTATGTAATCTGTTGTACGCGAGAGACCTTCTGATCAGTCATGGAGCAATCAGATCTACCACACAGGCTGATAAAGGGCAAATAAATTCTGGCGGTCAGAGCACTGAAAGCATGGGAGTACTGTCAAAAAACCGCAGCGGCGGTCGAGCTGGCTACAGGGCACTGGCAGCTCACCCTATATTCGACCTGAAGCTTTCCTGCTGCCACAATGTTGATCCTCTCCCAGGCCGGTGGTGTGGATGCCTGGCAGTAGATAGCAAGCAGTTTTCTGGACCCCAGTGCTCAGGAGCAGGTGGGGAAACCCCAGCAGCCTGCGTAAATCCCTACAGCCACGTTTTGTCAGTGCAAGTTCTCCATTTGTGCGTGGGGGTGGCACTGCCGGCTGGACGGGTCTGTTCTTCGCCAACACCCCTTGGCTTAGTTGATGCTGTTAGTTGATGCTCTCAAGTAAATGTGTCCCAAATTTGTTTTAGACTTAATTGAAACAGTCTGCAGGCTGCTCATGATGATAAAGAGCTGATCCTTTCCCTCCTTGTGGTACCGCTTTTACTGCTGAAAGGATCTTATTGAAGCATTTTATTAGACAGGGGAGCAGCCCCTATGGATAGATCCATAGGCACAGAAGCCCATCGCTTGTGGCTGAAAGCTGCTTGGAACAGTGAAGTATAATAAGGAGATGGGGTAGATGAACCATTGGGTCTTTCTGTTTCTGTCCATTATGATTTCTGTGCATATACAGCTGGTTTAATCCTTTCCATTCAAATGCATTGTATCCACAGAAGTGTATTCTTAATAATGATGCAAGGCATGCTGCAACATGGGTAAGCTTATAGTCAGACTCTATGAATCAGTTGGACTAAGTTATTGTTTGAAACAGAGCATTTTAGAATTAAAACACTTTCTTGCTACTGGATTTTATAGTTGACCATATTTTGAATGTTCTATGTATAATGCAAAAAGGCTAATTTGTTAAAAGACTGTGAGGATTGTACAGATGTCAGCACCCAGGAGTTAGGATGTATTAGAATTGGAGATATCTGTAACCTTTATTGGACCTTGTAGTTTTATGGAGCGTGATCCAGTCCTAGTGACCTTCCTCCCCGCATGACCTATGGCTCTTTTAAGGGATAAACAGGATGAACAAGGGCATGAATGTGCAAGTGCAAAGAATGTGGCAGTGGGTGGTGAGCTGCAGAAGTTCTGGTGAGGTGTTTGTCAGAGGCATGAGCGCTGTGTAGAAATAGGAAGCAATGGCTTGTGGTGAAAGCACTTTTCTCCTCTATTGCAGCTGCATTGTTACTGTGATGTGTGGTGGTGGTCTCACATTCAGAACCCAGATTACAAAACATCTTCTGCGTCTTAACAGGTGACAGGTATAGAAGAATGGATTATGGAAATATAAACTGAAAGGGTCAGATATAAACCTCAAGAGAGTAAAAAGATTTAATGACTTGTAATCAGGATTTACCAATGATTTGTACTTAGGTAATGGCATTGCTGTTTTTTTTCCAACATACAGGATACATTTTAGTTTACCTCAGACAGGTCCCTGTTCCCTGTTACTGCTTAACTACAGGATGTTGGAATTATGGATGTAATGACACTGTTGTTGCAGAATCGCTGCTGATGAGTTATGGTGGGATGGCAGCTGTAAATACAGCTTCCCTTGTGGTTTAAGAGGGAGATGTGAAGGCATATCGCCCAGATGCTTGATCAATGGTAAATAGGGCCAGCCACGGCATGCTAAATCTTAAAAGTCCTTGCCAGATTTTGGGATTAGAAGTCATCTTTTCAAGCATTAACTCCTTCAGTATCAAAATAATCATCTGCTCTGGTCCTCCTCTTTTCCTTTCTCTTCGGCCAAGATTTATTTACCCTTGCAAACAAGAACTGACACGCAAACCTTTTTTTTTCAGTCAGTTTTTGAGATACAAGAGCTTCTGCAGCAAGCTGCTGAGTACTCAGTGTCTGTTTGTGCCAGTGCCATACGACTTCATGTCATGTCCCCTGTGACCTTCCATTCACCTGCTTAACTGGTCAGGAAATGTGCGGCCCCTTGGAGCTGTGTAGTTATACTGCCTAAGGCCGGAGAAACAATAAACCAGTCATTACAGATTGGTGTGATGAAACACGCCAGCAGCAAAATCAGCTACAATCAGGATTCACTTGAGACAAAAGGGCATACAGCTTTGGTCACTCAGTCCCCTGCCCTGTAGGTGACAGTCCTGGGCAGGTAATATTCCTAATGACCGATGAGGGGCAAGAAAAACTTCAGTATGCAACTATTAACATTGCAGTGATTTTAACCTGGCTTCTCTCAGAGAAACCCTACACGTCCTGATCTGAAGTTTGATACAAGCTTGGTTATTTTTTCCCTGAAGTGAGAAATGAAAATCTCCCCGAGATCTCCCTGGAATTCAAACTAAATGGGGCTTGTATTTGCATTGGTACTAAGGATTAAATCAGGATTGGCAGACTGTGTTGTGGGAATTTGCTCATATACAGGGAATCAGAACAAGAGTGAATCTTGTTAATTAAGCCAAGACATTTTACATGGCCTGTGCCTAAAATTCAGTCCTGTTCAGTAAAAGGGACTTTCTCTTGGGTCTATTTAATGTTACATTCCATTTACAATTGTAATAAATGCTATAACTTGTCTCCCTCTCCCCTATCTCACAAAAAAATGACAGAAAGGAATTTCTTGCGAAGCCTTTGATAACGGTTCTTTCTTTTTGTTCCAGATAACTTCAAACGAGAAGTGCTTGGAGAGCCTGAAGAATGATGGTGATGCTCTTATCCAGACTCTAGAAAGCCTGGCCCAGACTGCCAGGTGAGTTCCCTCAGGCTTCCAGGAATTTCCAGGACTGAAAGCGCTTGCTGCCTCTTTTGTCTGCCATGGTCTGCTGTAATCGCCTTCTGTGCAGTATAAGCTTCTCAGGTTTCTGTCCCTGGCCCCCCTCCCTGCACTGCTCTTCTCCAAACTCCTCTTGTTCAGAGCTTGCTGGTGTTTCTGACATGTTGTCGTGCGTGAGCCACAGTGTGCTGCACAGTCCAGCCCAATGTGTGTCCATGTGTTGATTGCTTTATTTAAAAAAATATTTTATTCCAAACACTCTATATCAGTCTCTATAACCAGATACTGTTTAGTGGTTCTTGGCAGAGCGAGATAGATGCACAATGCAAGGTTTGTGCCCTGTTTTAGCATCATTGTGTTTGGTACACTTGCAAGCTGATTAGTTTCAAATGCTCAGCTGAAGAACAGAACTGCTTTTGTTTAAGAATACCTGTGGCTTCTCCAAGAAGGCATGAGACTTAGGGGAATGCCACGGTCTCCTCTGCGAGAACAGAGGTGCTAGTCCCAACAAGTTGACCAAACCTCAGCTCATCTCCCATTAGACTTTCCCTCATCTAATCCCCCTTGGACATATGAATGAATGAATTGCTGTTCTATGCCCCTCAAAACAAATTTTAAACTCCTGCTGTGAGCTGTTGTGCTGCATTTCACTCCTGGTTGAACTAAAATTCGTGAGAAATTGTAGTTTATAGATCAGTTTTTGAAACACTAAGATAATCTCAGTGTTCTTCATGCTTTCAAACACAGGCTTTATATGGGTGAGTTGTTTGGGAAAACTGGCTTCTTGACATTATGGCAGGGTGTACCCTGTGTTGGAAGGAAGGGGGGATGTGGGCAGATATGGAGAGGAAATGTTGGGATGTGGGGAGTGTAAGGAGGTGCACACCAAGGACTAACCAAACTTGTTGAGAACAGTCTGCATCACTCCCACATACTCAGCTGCTGACTCATGGGTTTTTGTATGACACATTATCTAACTAAAATAAAACGTCAGCCCTCTCCAAGGGAGACATTGGCACCGCCACTGAAGATGGCAGTGGGGTTTTCTTCTTTTAGAACTGCTTTTCACTCTGTTTTGTAGCATTTCAGCATTAAATGCACTAGACAGCCCAGTCACGGTCCTTCAGTCTGCTTTTCTGGCTTCCTCTAATTGTTATCTATACATTTCTTTACTCAGAAAACCACATACTGCATTCACTCTTCTTTGACACAAGATGCTCAGTAGACCAAATTCTAGCTGATGCCAATGATGAGGGTTTTGATACATCAGGGTAAGCCAAGTTCCTCTGCTGTGCTGAGCTCCAGCACTGCAGCAGCAACAGGGGTGTCCCTGACAGCTCATGGATTTAATTTCCCTCCCTCCCCTTCTTTAGGGAACACGTGTCCCTAACCATTTGCCTCCAGAGGAAACTGAGAGGGCTTCAGCTGGGATCTTGGGGCCAGAATGGACTCAGACATGGGCAAATTGGCAACGGGCAGGCATGAGAAGCCTGGGGCTAGGAAGCTGTACCAGGTTTAGCTGAACGGCCATTTCATTTATGGAGGTTATGGATATTCTGCTGTCTCCCCAGATTCCCTTATATGGCATCTGTCCCAGAACATTCCTTGTGACCTAATAAACTTGGTCTCCTCACCTGTTCTTTGAACCCAATTTAGAAGCCTCTCTGTATCTCATGTGGAATTGGAAATGTTTTAGAGAAGGCTGCAACTGCGATCCTGGATCTAAGCCATCCCCTGAGTGGTCTAAGCTCCCAGGCCCTTCCACCCACATATTATCTCTGGGTTGAAGTGACTGAGGAGCGGTTTTGCTTTGCTCATTTTTTACAGACAGGTTTCTAAATCTTTCGCTCTGCCTGTGTGGCAGAAGGAGGATACCAGCCAAGCGGTCACGTGCCAGGAGAGGGGCACTGCTTGGACTGGAAGCTGCTTTCGGTGCTCTCCTGCTGCCGTGTAGCAGCTGTGGGTTGCTGAACTATCTCTGCAATACATCCTCAGCTAGTCAGAACAGGCAGCTCTGGGTGACGCATAACCAGCCCATTCTGCTTAGTAGCTACACGGAACCAAATCTATGCTTTAAAATGGGGGATCGTAGCCATTTATCTTTCAGGGAAGACAGTTGCCAAGATGAGTTTGTTTCAGGTAACTTAATTTTCTGGTTTAAACTGCTGCTCATTGAGACATTGGCTTACATAGTGTGGACTGGTCATTTGGATTTCCTGGCTAGCTCTGCGTTCCCCAAAGCATGGAGTATCGGTAGGTGTTTGTCATTAGCACCAACCGAGGAAGTTGCAGATTGATCTACTAGTGGCCTTTCTAAGCTAGAGATGAGGGATAGTAGTCTCTAAACAAAACCCACTTGTTTCTGTGGACTAGCAGTAATGTGTTACAGCCTCTGTTCCAATGCTAGGGAAAACATGTTTCCAGAAGGAAAAACTAGGCAAAATAATACATATAATAAAAACTTAGGTGAGGAAGCAAAGGAAAAGGCCCCACCAATCTCAAACCTGTGGTGGGGTGGTCAGTCCTCCCTACAGGAGACAGGTGGAACTGCCCCCCGTGCTGGGGTAAGAGCCTGTGTGCGTGGAAACACATCTTTCTGTCAAACTGGAAGGTGTGTATGTGCAGATCCGGG